ACCTGAATTGTTCTATGATTCTATGAGTCTACTACATACCCTGTCAATGGAATAAAAGAAGACAGGCACTTCTCATATTTAGTTGTAAAATTAAGAATGGAGAAGTGACAGTTCTTTGTATAACTATTGGAGAGGTTTAAAAAAAAGGCCCCAAAGTGTGTCACACTCAGTAACAGAAATATCTTTCAAGTAACTCACAATATCAATGTGAGATGTGCATAACCACCAAGGCTTTGAGGGAAGTGCCACTAGTTGCACTTGTTTTTCATTATGCAATGTTAGAATTCAATATTTGCTGCTGCAAGGGGCTCATATATTAACCACAGAGGCACTGCTAACTTGTGGCTCTGCCATAAGAGAAGGTGTGCTTAGTAACAGCTTTGTGTGGTTTGAAACCGTCTTTTCAGTGCATCACACTATAGCTGGGAGGATCAATTTGTAACCACTATTTGCTGTTATTCTAAAGCTCATTTCAAATGCTCCAGTGAATATTTGAAGGTATAAATGCAAAATAGTACCAAGAATTTTCTAAAAGGGCTACTGGAATTCTAACTGTTAAATTAAGAAAGGAAATTGTCTTTAAAAAGCCAAGAGTTACTGGGCTTTTAAGGACTTTTCCCTATAGGCATGCTAGAGCTGGGAGGTTTAAGCAGCTGACTGGACAAAGCACTAAAAAATACACAGTAGGAAATGTTTCTGCATGATTAGGAAACATTAGAAAATACACTGTAAGAAATGTTTCTGCATGGTTAGTGGTAGGACTGAAATATTAGACAAAGCAATGATCCGAAGTGGCTGGCGAGCAAATATTGGCCAAGTTATGCTAGATAACTATGGTGAAATATTAAATTGCCCCACTGCAGCAAAGCTCTGGGGAAATCAGACACTAACCCCTACTACTTAGGATCTGGCTAATGTATCTTATCCATCTGCCTATAAAGTATTAGTATACTTTGCTGCTGCCAACATCAACAAGGCTGGTGTGAACAGAAGGCTTCTGAAAGAAGATGGCAAAGGGAGGGAATATAAGAAAACAGATTGTGCATCAAACATTTCTTCTGGGGCATGAGTGAGTGGGAGCAGAGCTTGGCCAGGAAAAGGCAAACAGAGCCCACAAAGAAGTATAAAAACTTAAAAATCCTAATGATCCACAGCAGTACCGTGCTTTTTTATCCCTCCATGCTGTTCATGCAAGAAATCAATATGAAGACCTACAGGATTAAAGTGAGCACAAATAATTAACCACATCCATTTCAGGAAAGGCCATACAAACCTCTGACAGCACAAACGGAGTTGGCCGGTGTTGTAGAATCCAGCTCATCGAGTCTGACAGGGCCAGTCGGCTCACTGAGGTCAGCACCGGCAGCCGAGTACAAAAGAGGCTTTTGTAATAAGAGAACAGTACGTTCAACACAAATAATCCTACCTGCCAACAAAGACATTTCAACTCAGTACAGTAACAAGGAAAAAGGTGACCATGTTAATTGTCATGGCCAACACAGACAACTGTCTCTGCCAGCTACTAAACAGATGGACAGGCTCCATCAGGTTTTCTCAATGACAAAATATTTTGCTTTCAGCGATATATGCATCACACTTCGCAACTCCCAGGAAAAAAAGAAAAAAATTTAAAGATTCAAACATGGCAGAAATGAGTCCAATTCCACTCTGAGTGCATCACACCATGCTTCCTGCAAACACAACAGTACCATCTATTCTGTGGTAGTAAGTTTGGGCATCCCTTCGGGTGGTCTTACTTTGTTTCAAAGATTACAAAGACAAGGTGCATGTGATGCTTTGCTCTCCAAAGCAGAAATTTGTGCTTCAGGACACAGAGGTTGGTCCTTCCAGTCTAATTATATTTTGGAAGTGAATGAAGTTTTGAGATGTGAACTCTCCATGCAGGCACCATGCAGAAGCATGCCTGAACCTCCAAAAAGAGCAACTAAAAATGAATATAAAGTCAACTACTACCTTTACATCTGGTGTGGTGGATCTGTCTGTGGTGGAACTGTGGCTGAATCTGTCTGGTGATGAAGGCTCACAGCTAAGATGGTATAGGAGAGTTTGTAAAAGTTCTCTGTCTAGAGACAAGCAAGTCTCTAGATTCACTCTCTTACTCCTTTTAGAGGTAGCAGATTCAATAAAACAAGTTTCTTCAAGAATATAAAAACAAATGAAACCCAAGTTTCTTAATAGAGTAGACTGTTTCAGTTGGAAGGGACCTATAACCATTATTTAGTCCAACTGTGAATCTTGGAGTCTTCTGTCAGCTACCAAATTTGATTGACACTGGTCATTAGATTCAACAGCCGAGAGGTAAGACTGACAGAAGTATCCGTGGTCATACAGCAGGATCACTGAATTTCTCCTTTACTTGGGAGATCAAGCCAAAAATATAAAAAAGAAACCTTACATGTAAGCTCTAATTACAAACCCTTTCAAATTTCTTCCCAAACTTGCAATGTCTCATTTTCGTCTGAGAATGAAAGTCTCTGCAGGTCACCTGTTGTGGTGCCAGAGTTTAGGATGCTATTTCAGTTTGATGCCAACTGCTTCAAAACGACCCGCAAAGCTCACCGTTTCCCAACAGCGCATCCTTGAAGAAGACGAGTCGCGAGGCAGCGCTGAGGGCTTCTGCGATTTCCGTACTGAGAACACACGATGCAGCGACTGACACGGCAACAACTTTCGGAGTGGTATCAACTACATTTTGCAATGTGGAGTCAGTCACAAACAACCAAATTTCTCTTTGATTCATAGGAACACTGTGTTTTGTCTATGATTCCAAATTAAAAAAAAAAAAAAAAAGACAATATACAAAATTTGAATGCATTTGTTAATTTTTAGCAGAAGCAAAAACTAAAATAACATTCTCATATTTAAATAACTAATAAAATTGTCAGAAATTATTACATTTAGGGCTCATACAAGTTAGTGAGTCAAAGCTTTACAGGAACCTTTTCCTTATGCCTTACTGCAGATACACACTTTTTTACCTCAAATTAACTTTCTGAGGTTGACCCACTGGAATCTTGGCTTTATTTCTATTAACTATCATGCTTTATCACAACTCATTTTGACTGTACTAGGGATTTGAAAATACATTTTATTAAAAAATTAACCAATATATACACTATATATTATATATTTATATCATATATGACACATATATAAAGTCAATTTTCTGGTTTTGTGAACAAAGACTTATATAACTGTTGCCTTAAAAAAAAAAGAGAAAGGCTAATGATACTACTGCTATTATTCCTGTGTGAGCAAGTTTTCCATGTACTTTTATCTGATTTCCAAGAGCACCAGTCCTTGGCTAATAGCTACTGCAAGGTACGAAGCTGGAGGTTTTTCTTTTTGTTGAACAAACACCTCTAAATATTTGAATGATGCACAGAAACAGGAAAGCAGATAACTCAGAGGTAGCAGAGGTAGAAACATACAATGACATTGTAAGTTTTCTGCCTAAGACAGGTATAAAAATACTATGGTCTGACTAAATTAAGGTATATCAGAACTATGATGTCATAACTAAAATACCTAAATTTCATTTCAGCCTTCATATCTGAAAATAATTATCACAAATTCTGTAGGGTTTTTTAAATTTTTCACACTGGGATGATGAACCAGACAGACTAGACAGTCAGTACATACATATCAGTGCTTATTCCAGCATCTCTAACAAATCAGATAGGCTACAATTAGAAGATTCATGCTTTTCGTCGTTTTTTTTAACATAGCTTTTATAATATCTGGTGCTTATTCCAGGGTCTCTAACAAATCAGATGGGTTACAATTAGAAGATTCTTGCTCTTCCTTTTTTAACACAGCTTTTATAATATCTCTGTGTGTAGGTGAATTTTCCCATGCTTTAGAAAAAATGGTGTTAATAACAAAACATATTTCACATTTACCAGTCCAAGCAACTTGTAAATTTTAATATTTTAATCTTTTTAACTAAGATTAAATTACTTTCTTAATTTAAAAAGTTTTTGTTATTATTTTTAAGCAGTCTGCTGATTAAAAATTAATACTTAAAACATTAAAATTAAAATTTAATACTACAATTATTGGAAAGACACATATCACATAAGTATTTTATTCTTAAAGTTGCATGTCTCTAACATGAGTTAATGCAATGAGAACCCCAAATTTTCGTCTTTGGTTAAATTCAAGCCTTGAAATGATTAACAGTAAATCAGTTTTTTGTTCATGCTAGCAGCTCTTAGAACAAATGCAGTGATTGTAAATAATTACTGGGAAATTTTACAACTCAGATATTACCATTATGCTTTAATACAATATATGCTGCCTCTTTTAGTGATGTTTCCCTAGTAACTACATATGTTTGAGTACCTCCTCTGTGTAGATAGCATTAGGAGAGCACAAGAATTTTTACAGCTGCCCCATGAGAATTACTAACACATTAAAAGCTGGCTTTCAGAAGAATCATCCAAAAAGTAAATAGTAATAACAGCAAAAATCACAAGTTAGTATAAAATCATCATCTTGCTATGTGTGACAATTTGTTCTGAACAGAGAGGACACAACAGACAAATAGCAGCAGGATTGAGTTATAAGGAAGGACAGCTCCTTAACCACAGATGGAATATATTTCCTCATATTCCTTCTGTCCCACAGCACAGATTCTGAGAAGCACATTTCCATTCCCCCTTCACACAAATGAAGTATCTCAGAATACTGTAGCTGCATAGAATAAACACTATTTTTTAAAGTACATTTGAATACCTCATGTAGCAGATTATCTAGTAAAAATAGATTTGCAAAATAAACCAAATCATAGTCCCTTCCTCACTTAGTAAGACTTGAAGATTTTGCATGTGAAGGATATGTTCCCTTGGCAAAGGCAGCTGCAGTAAACAGGCTGCTGCTGGTGACTTTCTTCTGGGAGGGTTAGGCCAGCAATACACTAACAGCAGGTTACCTTTACATTCCTACCTCAGTTATCCAGAAATTATGCAGAAGAATATCTTCTACTGCTTTTCCAACACTTCCACAAAAATTAGGAGCACTCATGTTGTTCACTTACAAAAACTTTGTGCTTACAGCTCAGTAAACAAACAGCCATTAAAAAAACCAGCTAATAAACCTCCAAGTAGCAAAAAGAAATCATAGACCTTTTTTCTTCCTGCTAGATAAGCTTCTATTCTTCAAAATCTGTTTCTACATGCTTCATCTTTTCTCTAATTCTGTGATGAAGTGCTTCTGCACAAGAATACTGATGACCCACAACATAGCATCTTGGATGCAGACATTCCTGAATACAAAAACCTTTGGCTAGGATATCACTAGTCTATAGTTTTATTTTTAATAGAACAGGTTTATTGGGAATAGAAGTTTGTGCACATATGTGTCCATCTTTCTGTTAGCACCCTAAAGATCCCATCAAGCTAGCCTTAATTTCACATTTGCAAATGCTCTGCTAAATTCTCACTTAACATGGAAAAAACACAAGAGATGCTCCTCATCTCAGGAGTAAAAAGTACTCCCTGCCTAAAAAAATCAAATCATAACTAACTGGCTTTTGAAGCAAAAGGGCAAGACCTAAATTAAATTTATGTCTTACACTGGTGGGAAGCATCTCAAGCTATTTTGCTGGCCATTCTGGAATTTCTTTGTCTTTGGTTCATATGCTTTGATTCACACTTTGTTTCTTGTGGAGCTGATGGACAATTGCAAATTATTCTCCGCCAGAATTCAGTGCTGGCGGTACTGAGGATCCAGTCGCCAGGAAAAAATAAATAAATCAGCAACAAAAATTCCTTTAACTACTGAGGGAGTTAGCAACATTTTGAAAGAAAATTGTAGCATCGTTCAGAAACAGATAAATAAAACATAATTATAAGCTTTCCAACATAGTATGGATGGCAGATGTATTTACCTAAGAGTTTCTCATTTCTACTAACTGGACCATAAAAGCCAAATTTGCCTGAGGGCCATCTACTGAAGTCAACAAAAATAGTCCACACACTTGCATGCAAAGAGCAAAACTGTATTTTTATATAACCATCATCTGTTAAATTCTATCGTCAGACACTCAACTGACTAGGAACTTTTCACTATCCATCTAACAATAGCATTTAGCTCTAAATTGAGTAGCAACTAACTACTTGCAAGCTCCCTTACCAGGGTGCAGTATTATCTCTGGTTAGATAGCAGTTTATTCACAAATAAATAACCATCTAGATTGGATGGTCCCGAAACTGCAGATGTGGTTAAATTCACCTATTCACAAGCATGGTGAAAATTCTGCTCATATGACTCTTAAAGATAATCCGGGAAAGTTTTGGGTTTCCCCTAAACAAGATAAATGCTGTCTTCTTCACATAAACATTATGCTGATTTTACGTTGAATTCATTTCTAAGTGAAAAGATTACCTGCAACCTTAGATACAGCACTTGTGCCCAAAAGCTGCAACGTTCATTACAAGCACCCATCTGAAAACAGTACAAAACAGGGGATGAGACAAACATGACACCAGAAATCCAGTGGTACAAAGTACTTGTTATCCGATCTATACAGCAGATTACCTGAAGGATTTCCTTTAGACCATGAACAGCTGGGGGCTGGTACAAATCAGAAATCTGTTCTTCCTCATCCACTTCCACATGTATTTCACCAGACTGAACAGTAAGAATATAGCAGAAGCTAGGAGGAGGAAGATTAGTTGTCATCTATTAAAAAGAAAGGAAAAGAAATGTGACCTTAACAAGGGCACTTTAATTTGGCCAGTTGGGTTTTGTAATAATAGCCAAAACGAACCACACAATTTACATTTTAAGAGGATGGAGAAACAAAATTATATGGTTAATAACAATGACTCTCTGAAGTAGAAGTTAACAAACTTACACTCACAAGCTGTAAGTGAAATCAGCTTGTGCCCATCATTCTTTCCATAATCTCACATTGATCCTAATCACAAAACCAGCGCATGATTTGGCACACTTGGCAAACTTTGAGACTGTTTCAAGGTGCTTATTGTTGGGTTTGTATTTTTCTATTGCATGGTAGGAGAGTCCTAATTATTGTTTTCTGGGGTTTTGTTTGTTTGTTTGTTCAGTTGGTTTTTTTTAACATCCATAACTTTTCTGAGATTTGGGGACTTTAGAATGTGGGTGGGTTTTTGTGATAGTAAACAGCTGCCGAACTTTTAAAGCTGCCAAATTAAATCCAGGACAGCACTAGGAGATAATGAAGAACAGGAATGCAACAAATGCAAGAACTGCTCTCTTTGTGTTATGCCAGAATTTTTTCCCTCTTAAAATGGACCATGACGTAACAACTTTATCAATCACCACGTAAAGAGGTCTCAAGCTAGAAAGGCTTCCCAGGAAAAAAAAGGCAGTGCTAGAAAATATTTTTTATTGTGTATGTGGTAAAATATTCTTCTGTCAATGCTTGCTGTTAATAAGGCATTTCATTTAACAAAAGAAATACGAATTTATTAAAGACAGTTGCCCATCTATCAAAAAAAATCTGCATAAGGAAAAAAAAAACCAAAATAAATCAACATCCGAATTCTGTTTGCCTCTGACAACACTAAAGAAGGTATCTGAATGTATATAAGGTTCAAACAAAACCAGTTCCTCAGATCCCTTCTCAACAACGATGTTATTTATGTACCTATGCATAAAAGTGCTTCCATAAAACTGTGTAGAAAACGACACCGTTTATATCAAGAAAAAGGTATCTCAACCAATAATAGTCCACTCAGCCAAAAACCTGCAGCAGTAGAATGCAAGCTGTGATCCTCCATGGAATGAATTAGTATTTCAAACCCATGACAGAAGTGTAAATTGCATGATTATGGGAAGTTTCCTCCATTTTTAGGTTGCTAATAAAATAGAGAAAATGAAGAACAAATGAGAGTCATAACAATGCCGAACAACATTTAAGAGCTTTGCTCCATCCGTGAATATTCCCATTCTGTTGTCCACGGTATTTTAATCCACAAAACAATCCATTCCTCTGAGACTTTCAAAATGTCTAGACGAAAGGAAGAGTCAAGGAGAAAACAGCCCTTTCACTCAGTCTTTTATATACAACCAAAGTCTGAACTTTTTATTCTTCAGTATAAAACCCTGCACAATGCAAAGAACATCCTGCATTGCAGAGAAAAGATTCTCAGACTGTAGAAATAAAGAGTAATATCCATTCACCTTTAATGTTGCCTGGTTTTGAAACTTGTTTATTTCCAGCTTTTTACTCTTTTCTAGAACTTGCATCCTGACTGACTCCCCTAGGCTCTAACACAAATTTTTAATACAATAAACGTCTTCCCCAAAGAAACAGCCTATAGAACAACAGTAGGACAGTACAAGCACTTCGTTACCCAGAAGCTTCTCAAATGATCTTGTGTTACCCAAGATGACACTTGGTATGATAGAACTCCTTTTCAAATACAAAAGCTAATTAAAGGAAAATTAAAGATGCAATTTTAGATTTGCAATACATAATAACATACTTTAAATCCATTTTAAGACTTCCCCACCCCCTAAAATCTCAGGAACATTATTTTTATTATATTATTTTTGTGTTCACCCTTTGACTGTCTGCATATAAGAGAAGAATCAGTCAAAGTCATCCTAACAAGCAAGAGACCTGATTCCAGAAGTCGGTCTGTCTTCACACAAGTTAATCTTCAGAAAAGTAGTTTGTATCTAAGACTGAAAAGTGCTTCAAAAGAATGAGTTAATATCCTTGTATATAGATTTCTCAGCTGGCTCCATGCTGTCTAATATCTCTTCTGCAGGAAGAGAAGAGGAATAATTCATCTGGACATCTTACCATTCTAGCTCTAAAGGATTACTAAGGGGCTAATTGCATGATTTTGCTGCTGATCGAGAGGGTTTCAGGTTAGCCCAGGAGGTTACCAGAACCGATAAAACAAAACTCAGTAGCTAAAGAGAGGGAGAGAAACTGATTCTTGAAGTAAACACGATTATGCTACCAACAAAAATAGTAGCTGTGAGTGAAAAAAATCATTTACACAATAACAAGACTTACCGTTTCAGAGTCTTGACTTTGTCCAGGAACTTTTACAGGCACTACTGGAGGCCACAGACTGTCTATTAGACTAAAAAGTCCTAAAGTCCTTCAAAAAGACCAATAAAATCAGGTTTAAAATGTTTGCCAGTGTTATACATTATATTAAAAAGATCCATTAAGAAATATAATTTAAACCATTGCATGATTATGAAAACAATTTTAAATCATATTTGTTTTCTGGTAGCTGGTTTTTATTTGTTCTAATTAAATCTCCATCATTGCTGCTGCAGAGTGGAGAGAGAGAGGGGATGCATCCCATTCAGTGACAAGCAAGTTGTATTTAATCCTTCGCTGTGAATAGACAGCTACAGGGGAACTGGGGTAAACGCTGGCGTGGGAAAGACACAGATACCAGTACAACTTCTCATGAAAAATAGTTTTTAACTACTTTAACTGATAAGATTTAAAAAAAAAAAAATTTTGCTTCTAACACTTTCATTTCTTGCTTGTCTCTAACAGCTGACTGTAATGGCTTTCAGGAAAGTCAGCAATAGTCAGATATAGAGAAATGGGCAAAATTTTGCTTTCCTCAGTACATGTGCAACAGAGGGTCTCCTTCCTACACAGTTGCTCATTTAGTTATGATTTGCATTTATTTTGCAAGTTTCCCACTTTTAGGTCAGCAACAAACACAAAGTAACAGCCCAGCACACTGAGGCAAAAAGCTGCAGACTCTTTAGCTTCAGCAAGCAAAGCTGTGACTTGCAGCAGTCCAGCGGCTGCCTTGTCGGTCGATAACAGCATCCCGGCTGGTCAGGCAGGGACTTCTGAGGGAGAGGCCACGAAAAGAGCTGAAGGAGGAGAAACAGGTACAGATAACGGACTTGAAGAGGCATGCATTTTGGGGTTAAAGCTCCCAGTTATCTTGTCTGAGTTCTCTGTTCCTCGTAGTCAAAGCACAGAGATCCGGATTTTAACCCCATGTTGCCTACAAGAACAAGTTGTCTGTTCCTCTGATCAGGAAAGCCACTATTTCTAAAACCACTCCAAAAAATGAAGTCCAAAACTTGCTAAAAGTAATATTAGCTTCTGAACTCAGTCGTTTAGAAGGCAACAGCACACGCCGTTAAAGGGCTGACGCACATCGCAATATGCTGCTTCTCTTCAAGGGGTCACGGAAACTTTTCTTTTGAAGTTCTGCTTTTAGCTCACTTCTGCTTAAGCTTATTTATTTCTGTACTTCCCTAGTCCTTCTCCAAATCCTTAAGCAGTTAGATTTTGGATGTCTATAGGCAGTGAACTTCTTCCTATGTTTTTTCATACAGTGCCAGGTATCATCTATGATTCAGTGTCAACAGTGACACCTTTGGACCAGCACTGTAGGAAATTTTATGAATATAAATTTCAGTGTGAATCTTCTGGAATTAAGCTTCTGGTTCTTGATTCAGGTAACAAACTGGCAGATTATAAAGATGCTGTTGCAACCTGTAGTCATGTTCTCCACACTAAAGAACAGACCAGAAATACCAATATGCTGTTCTTTCACAGAAATTAACTTCCTGACCTATATGGCATCAGCACAGAGTCTGTAGAAGGGGAAGGCTGAGCTCAGAGGCTGGGGTTTTTTTTTCTTTGGTTTTGTGTTTTAACAGTGAGAACATTACAATATACAAAGCCACACTTCCTAGGTATTAAAGAGATTTTACAACAAAGTAAATTCTTGACTGGGGCAAGATTTTCTGTCTTGTGTTGTACAGAACGATATCCTCTCTACAGTCACAGGAGGGCCAATGCCCAGAGGAACAAACCGGTGTTGTTAACCGGGGCGTGAAAGAGGAGAGTTACACCTCAGGCAGTCACACAAGTGGCCTTTCTGACAGGACACACAGCACGAGGGCAAGGGCAAAGCATGAATATGAACGTACCGCAAATTCTGTGTGTGTGTGTGTGTGTGTGTACAGCCATCACATATTTATTGACTTAGAACAACTAAGCTATGTTGTTGCAGTGCAGATATAACCACATCTCCACGCAGACCTTCCACTGATCCCTTATCTGTCTTTATAAATTTGCATAAGGGACACGAAGTTGTCCCTTTGTCTTTAGCTCTCTTCCAGCTTGCTTAGATACCAGAAAATCCAAGACATACAGTGCATTTTCTTCCATTACTTGTGTCATTTTGGAGAAGGTAATCTACTTCTTGAAGCAGGAGCACTTAATTATTAGTAAATGACAGTATTTGTTTACAGCCAGGCAGAGGAGCAGTGCTGTGCAGAGCATGTCTCCTGAACATCTTGGCCCCATCCTTTTCTTTGAAATCTGTCAGGCAAGGGGCAAGGACATTTGCCACCTGAAGGATTCACAAGCTCCAAATCATTTCCTCATGGGATCCTTGCCTACCAAAGGGGATGTTCTCTCCTGGAGCTGTCACTGCATCAGTCAGTGTCCCTGGTGAGGAGTTCATGTGTTGCTCCACTCATTTATTTGCCTCCAGGCAAGTTAACTCTCTCTTCACACTTAGAGACTTCCATGTAGCAGCAGCAGGAGGAATGAGGTGGGGACAATGACAGTGGAGAAATGGCAAGACATTGTGTCCTCCTCTGCAGAAAATCACTATTCTCACAGAAAGAATAAAATTCATACTCTTTCTTGGCCAAACAACACTCAAATCCCACTTCAATCTGACTCGAACAATGGGTGTATTTTATCCAATGTGTGTATCCTTCTTCAGCTATAGAGTCAGGACAAGAGATGAACAGCTGGCTCTGTGCTACAGTGAAGGGACATGGTTAGCTTCTGTGTGCACAAAGAGCCTCTTTGGCTACAGAAGATAAAATAAAAACTTGAAAATTTTGCTCTGTGAGTACAACCACTAGTCACTTTTTTTAAAAAAAATAAATAATTTTGCTGACAAAAGGACAGACTTGTAAAAAAGCATAAGTAGAGTAGGAAATGAGAAGAAATGAGAAGAAACAGGCACAAGGATGAAAAAAACCATGTAAAGCATTTTGAATAACTTTTTTTTTTACTTCAGAGACAAGGACTCTATTGTAATATTCTATAATTTTTCTTTCAAAACAGAAAAAAAAGACTGAATGCATAACAGGAAAAGGACAGAAATCATCTATCATATTCTAAATGACAGACTCAACACCACACGTTCTGTGCCAGGCTGAAATCTGTGTGGTAAAAATCTTTTTGTTCTATATACTGGTCACAGTAAGACCACCAGTAACTCCAATGGAGTGTTACAGTACAGACTTCCATAGAAGCATGCACTTAAGACAGGCAGTCCTCTACATAGAGGTATTCTCTTCTGTAAACCCACATCCTCAAGCTTCACTTATATATAATGTATTCAAGGCCAGGCTGGATGGAGCTTTGAGCAACCTGGTCTGGTGGCAGGTGCCCCTGCCCATGGCAGGGGGGTTGGAACTAGATAATCTTTAAGGCCCCTTCCAACTCAAACCATTCTACAATTCTGTGACAATGACACTTTTACATATGTGTGTTTGCATGTATATACATATAATATGCAGAATAATTCTTTTGGTGTCCTTATTTATCTTTATTATCCAAGGTGCTCAAAAGGTACCCCTCTCAGCTTAAACTTCCCATGGTACATTTTTTCCCCATATCCATAAAGGCAAAGTTCTTGCTATGAACTCAGATAACAGTCAGATAATTTATACGATTTAATACTATTAAGCAGGCTAAATATATGGCTGAGAAAATGCAAAATGTATATCCAATGCATGTGATAAATTAATCTGGACCTATTTAAGAAATTGTCTTAAACTGCTCCATAGAAAAAGTTCTGGAAGATAGTGAGTGATACTAATAAAATAGCAGTTACTTTTCCCTCCCCACAATTCTTTCCTTATGGGACTTTGCTGTCCTGTACAGAAGAAGCTGCTTTCATTTGCTCACTCAATCACCTTCCCCCTCAGTTTCAAAGCTCAGACAGAAATTACCTTCTGCTTCTAACCTTCCTGGCCTATTTCACCCTTCACTGCAAAGTCAAATGGCATATATTCATATGTGCACACAGGCATATATGTTTGCACTGTGATTTTTGATAAAAATATACAAATAAAGAGAAAAGCTGTTGTAATTACATTTAGACATCCAGTGAAGTGCTAAGTCATTATCTACAGTATCAGCACATCTATTCTGATCCTGTGGAAATTTCATTCACTTTGCTATACTACTATTCACAAGCTATACTACAAAAAATAGAACTACTTCAAGTTTTGTTTTTTTCAAAACTGTGTTTCACTGACTCTGAGCTGACAATTTAATTCATAACTGAACAAGAACTTTTTGTTCATTTTTCTCACAAGCATTAAGTTTCATCGACATTTCTGGTCCAAGAACTTAATGTGTGACATGCCTGATTCAACTTTTAAAATTACAGCTTACAGTTTGGGGGATTTTTCAATTTTAATAATCATTCCCCAGGTTTGGGTAAAAGTTATTACAGGGTGAAAATATCAGCAATATGCAAGAAAGTAGAAGGCAAACAATGCCCATAGCTAGGAAAACAAGAAAGACTACTTAAGGTTTACAGTAAGGGACAGGAAGAAAGATGTTAGCATTCTCCATTCTCTTCCATAGCTTTGCTCTCAAAACTTGGCACTTCTCTGGTTCCTCCTCTCCTATTTTGCCAATTTTAGTTTAAAATGAAACAGTCTTCTTTTGGCAGTATCAGTCTCAATTACTAAGAACTCAAAATTAAAGCAATTCCTAGCCCTTCGTGAAACATCTCCTTGCTCAAAACTAAAAAGATATTAAGTAATTATCACCTGGACTGCATAAGCTTCAACTATCAAAAGACAAGCAATCCACATACAAAGCTAATACTGCAGGCTACCTGTCCCTTTAACTGACCTATTAAAATCTTGCAGTGCATAAGCCCTGCAACACTGTATTTTCTCAGACATAAGTAATAAAAGCAACAAAATCATGAAGTAAAAATCTAAGCCTACTAAACCAGTATCTCAGTCAAAATACAAACAGGGAGGAAGGGTTGTGGGCTTTTTTCCCCTAAGTTTTGTTTAGATATGCAAAATTATTTTGTTGAATAATTTATTTACACACTTTAGTAACAAAATTTTCTATAGTATAAATTAGTAGAAATAGAAATTACACATACTACATTAAAACACTGAAACTATAACATAAAAGTACTTTTGGTTCAATATGGATATGTCTATGTCGTTCTCCAATGGTGGTTACTAAACAGATTCATGAAGGAAGCGCTGAAGATAAAAGCAGCAGTCCATGTTTTTTAAAGAAAACTCAGGAAAAAAATAATTTCTGATACATAAGTAGTCACCAAAAAGAATTAAAAAATGCAAATATTCAAAACTTCAATGTGATTACTGAAATTATGCTTTAAATGGAACTCAACTTTTAACCACAGCAATTCCCAAAGTGTTTCAGGACCTCAAAACCTCAGACACATGGGTGGCTTTTTCAGACGTCACTCTTTTTGGAGGAGGGAAAACAAAAGGAAGGAAGTTACGCCTTCCTTGCTCTTTGGAGAGTTCTTACTATTACATTTCTTGTCAACATCTAGCAGTTGAAACACTTGTATGGCAGTTAGTGGTGGTCCTCTCTTCTGAGTATAAAGCAAAAAGAAGAGAAAGTATATGGTGAGAGTAGAAGAAAAATAAGAGAGAGGCCAGAGAAGTATGGGACTTAAATAAACAGAAAAAAAAGAAAAAAATAGAAGAAAGAAAATAGGCTCAGTAGTGACTAACACTACAGCAAACATAGGCAAATTTCATATTTCAGTGCCTAAAATTCGAAAGTCTAAAATGCCAGAAGTTAACTTTTCAAATAAATTTTTACAATTTCTCACAGAAACATAACACTGCTTGGTAAACTTGGTATCCAGCATCTACTTACTACAGAGGAAAATGCAACAGATAATACAACCTGCCACAAATTGAAGGCTGGGTCAAGTGCCAAAGCTTACCAGTTGACGTATCCTCCAAAGTGTTTTACCCTGTCCAACACAAGTGTAGATTTTAGCACTATCCATGCAATAGTTGCAACTTCTTTTGAAACTTGTTAAGAATCTTTTTCAATTTAGGGACAAAATTCGCGCTGGCACCCTGTGTTAACTACGTATTATGCTAAAGCACTTTTTCTTCCCCCCTCCATTTACGAATTGGTGTAATCTTTCTGTTCTGCTGAAGAAGAACTGTTCATATTTCTACCTTGTAAGAAAACATAAAGAGAAGATGCAGGTCTGCTGTACTCATCAGTAAAACAACTCAGTGCTTGGCAAACCAGGTGAAAAGACACTAATTGTCAAAATCCAAATAATTATTCCCTGTGGAACTCCAGTCAGGGCTAAAAACATAATCTTTTTGTTGACAAAGACAGATGTCTAACTACAAAGTTTACCAACTCATTGACATTAATCTCTAGTAGGAAGCAGCAGACTATGACAATTTATAGGTTATTTATTCCTGAGGCATTTTAGCGAGTTCTCAGTCCCTGAACCTAATTGCAGTTATTTAGCTTCTGGTTATACTGGACATACCTAAAACATGCCTGGGATCTATTAAAACAGGCGGGGGTTACATGTACTGCATACAGGTTCTTAACCAAAATTCCTGCCTCTAGCAGTACACTGTCAAAATCTCACTTCCTCTTTCTCAAGGGGCTGAATTTTTAAGACTCACATAGGAGGTAGTGGGAGGACAAGAGAGAGAACATAGACATCTAAGGAGCCAACACCACCAGTGGCAGATCAATGAACATTTTCAGTCTTCTCTCTTTAAACCATCTCATCTTTCTTTTTTGCTGATACTAAGCAGGCAGTTCAGGGAACAGTCATAGGAAAGGCTAGGAGACAAGTATGAATGACAGAGTGAAGAGAAAAGGTGTCAAGAAACAGACGCTGAAGCACGTGTGTGCTGTTAACTCAGCTGCTACAATGCTGGTTCCCACCTTATTCAATAGCCTCAAGAACAGACTAGAAGAACTGCTGCAACAGAGACACTGAACAAGCCATGGCAACTTTGCCGTGACTCAGCCATGCCCATCTGTCTTACAGGATTGCCATAAACTGGACTGCAAAGCGAGACACCTCTTCCTCTACTGAACTACAAAGGGAAGGAATCCCTGCAGGGATAGTTTTGTGGAGTATGCTTTACATGAGGTACGGGACTTTTTCTGAAAACCCCCTAAATCAATGACTTTCAAAGGACCTAGGATGAGACCCCAGTACTTGTTCAAGCATATGGGTATTTAAAAACAGTATCTGACATTAATAGTGCTTCTCTCAATGTAATATTACTCCAATTCTAATTTTTCACAGGGCTGATCTTGGTCAAGACAGGCTATGGCTGTGTAAGTTCTTATTCCACTTTTCTTTTGGAACACAAGTGTTCTCTCATGGGGAGAAGAAATGGGGTTTGTTTCTTTAGCATCTGTTACAGTGCAGGTCCATTTGAAAGATGAAGTCAGGTTTACAGCCACGTTTTTGCTTGGATGTAAAATACCCTTTATTATAGGTTTTTAGTTCTTGAAATGCACTTCCAGCTTCCAAAAGTGATTTAAAAATTGCATTTAGTAAAATGGTGCTAAATAGTACTTTAAATTAAATGCTTGATGATGAGGATGGATGATGGCCTGGAAATTTTTTTGAACAATAACAGTGGTCCATTGATGCAAAAAGCTTGAGAACTTCTTCTATCTGTTAAATGAAAATCTCCTCTGTCTCATGGAGGGACTGAGGAAGCACTCTGTCTCTATAAGAGAGATTACAATCCATGTGACTGTGGGACAACATGCACATACGGGACCTTATTAGCCATTCCTGGCTTTCTCCAGATCATGTGCTTCAAAGGCACAAAAAAAAAAAAAAAGTCATGACTTTTCCCTTGTATTTCCTACATTTTATTCCCTTTTATCCATTTCAAAAGCCACTGTCAGACTCCAGGAAGCAAACAGTTTAAAAGTCATCTCCTTCCAAAAAGTAATTGGTGTTCTCAAAATAATAAAAAAAAAAAGGCAGCAATCTTTCTTGCAGAGCAGACCACATAGTTCTTATTCACTCATGTGCTGCAAGCCAAGGTTAGGCACTCACAGACATATCCCATCATGTGCTCGGATATACCACTGACTCTGGAAACCCATTTATCCAGTGGCAATGAGTTCTACAGCCTAATTATGCTCTGTGTGAATAAGTACTCTCTCATATTAATTTCAGCTATGGCTTTACTGTGGTTTCCATCACACCTAGAATGACACAAAACGTGTCCCGACACTTAAAAGTAATAACAAGTTATAAAGCAGAACTTAGGCGAAAACAATTATGAAAAAAATAAATCCCTGAACAATTTCCCCACCCACCCATCTTGTACAATGAAATCACGTTTTAACCACCGCACTGTCCCCGAAGCTACACTAGTCTTTTTCTTTTAATGTTTCCTAGCAGGGTTACCACCAGCACAGCTCCAGCTGAGCCACCAGCATTTTCAGCAGTGTGTCTTCTAATCGTCCTCTGAATAGCCAGAAGTAAGTTACTGCTGCTTTGAAACAGAATTTACATTAAAAAAATGTCTGTCTCTTATTAGCTAGGCAGAGTACTGGAAACACCAGCAGCCAGTTGTAAAACTTCATTTGTATCCAGAATTCCAAAGCCATTATTTAATTTGTTTGGAAAAAATGTAACTTGAAAAAAAAGCCAACAAAATAATTAAATAAGAAGACGTGTTTGTTATTAAAGATTCATAAAAATGCAAGCAGGATTGAAATCCAAAGGATCTGAAAATTAACACTGCAAGTACATAAAAAGAAAAGCATACTGAAAAGGGCTGGCTGGAAAACAACAATTCCATTTTGCTAAACATTTCAAGGCTTTGAAATTTGTTTTTGTTCCAATATGAAACAAAAATGAGACTTTCTGAAAGTTTTCATGAAATGAGAATGAGAGAGAGAATATTCATTCCCTCTGGACCTGAAAAGATCTTCCCAACAAAATTGTCTCCAAAATAGATAATGTTTCCATGAAATATTCTAGTTTTGATGAAACAGCATTCTTCAACAGGAAAAAAAGTGTCAGCAGAAATATCGTAGCCATTCTAATAGCAAAGGCTTATCTAGATCGGATGCTTGTAAGAATAAATTATGTTGAGAATTGAACCAATTTAATTATATTTATATAGGTCCCCATGTGAATACTGTATCACTTCCCTCAGAAAGATACTCCAAAAGACACTTGATCTGTTCAATTCCTGATTAAAGATATCTTATTTTAGTCAAAGAATGTAAAAGAATCACAGAATGTAAAAGAATCACTTTTACATTCCCCAAAGAATGAAAAAGGAATCACAGAATAAGCAAAAACTGAGAGGTACCGTAAGTCAATTTGTTACTTATCTGGGGGGGATTTTATATAAACCTGTGGACATTTTTATGCCAAAATAAGAATGGCTTTACATTTGTAAGTTGTTTTTTGTTTGTTGGCTTTGGTGGGCGTTTTTTTGGAAAGAAACGTGAACTGTGCTTCCAAACCATATAGACTTGACTGAATTAAGTTCTCATAAACTAAGGGAAAATCTGTGCTTGCAACTTCAACCCATATTGGGCAGCACTGTAGAAAAACATACTGTAGTGAACAGTTCTGCAATGAAAGGGAGATAAAAACGTTTTTAAATCTTTCAAACTACTGAAGAGGAAGAAATCCACGTTTTACAAAATATTGCATATGGTAATCCTCCTCTATTCTTTTCTCTGCTAAGCGTGTATTTGTGTGTTAGCTTATTTATGCTCATTTTTGAGTACGGTTGACTCAAGTACTACTGGATGCCTCAAAAATGGCAATGAGAACATTGAATTGAACAAAGCCAGGTTCAGTCGCTTTGAAGAATATTGACCACAGAAATAAATAAAAAGGTGGATCACCTCTGCCTGCCACAGTACGCAACACATTCTCCCGTGAACTGTTCTCACCTTCCTCTTGTAGTTCTTTGCAAAATTTTCATTCCAGCTAGGCAGCAGAATTTTCCTTCCCATCTCCTGCAATACTGCTGGATGTCAGCTGCAGAACTCAGCGACTGCAGCTGCACTTCACTGAACATACCGTAGGCGTCCTGGACAAGGAGGCATAACCTGCAAAACATTCCTCTGTTACTCAGAGGCTTCTATTCATCACAAACTAGTTAGCACATTTCTGCAAATTGTACTACAAGCTTCACGAGAGGGCTTATCCTCTACAACACCTGGAGAACTCCTACCAAGTAATGTATCTAATAACAAAACCAACATCATTACAGGTTTTCTCATGTATATTTTCAGGAGGTAAGAGTGCCATGAAATATAGAGAAGCATGACGGAAAAAAAAGCATAAAGGCCTTGCATTTTAAAATAAATTAGGTAAATTAACTGCTATGCGCTTTGTGGTTTGTATACTTATAAAGAAAGAAGCTTGAGGTTTTGCCTTTCTTCAGGTGAATTCTGCAATGTAGACAGAGCAATGATGCAAACATATATATGTGTGTGTATAAATATAAAAATCCTGCTTAGAAGTAAATAAAGCAACATATTTCATAAGTAGCAATTACTAACACTGAAACTGGCAAAGCAAGCATTACATTTTCTGTAACGTCTTTTAATTAGTTATGAGGATGCAAAAAGGAGTGAAATGTCAATTCATCTTTTAAAAAAACAAAAACCAGCATAAAGCTGCAGATTACGGTATTTTTTAATATTTGTTATGAAGAAGCCCAGAGGAACTATTTTAAGGAGGTAAGTAAAGAACCTGCTAAACACACCATTTGATTGGAGTCATGTATGGAAGTAGGGGCTGTAGGGCTGGGAATTATTGCTTAATCAACTTTTTTGGCATTTCGAGAAGATATTACTGTCGTAGCAGATAAGGCAAAATCAGTCGATGTCATACATTTAGATAGTAAAAAATGCATTTCACAAGATTCTGCACCTGAGATGAGCTGCCATGATAGCATGAGTCATGCAGTGCTGGAAGAAGGAGGCTGCTGTCTACAAGACGAGACAGTTAAGCATGGAAACATTTCAAAGGGAGACAAAAATTACCTTTGAGGGTAGCACATGCATCTTTATTTCTGAATAAAACTCAGGGGTGCGCTAGGCAGCAGAATTCAGCTCATTTCAAAGGCAAATGCCAAAACTACCTTGTCCAGAGCAGCAACATTGTTCACAGCAAGCCAGCTCCAACTGTTTTTGGAGCATACATGCACCCTGAAAGCATTCAACAGTAGTCATTATATCTTTATAAAACACATTTTCAATTAAATGGACTCCTACATTTCTCTGGAAGAAATCCATGTATTTTCTTTGCAGGGAAGCTTAGGCACATGGAATACCATTAATCACAGTTTCCTTATTCATTATGAACTGTCTAACTTTGGCTTACACCCTTACGAGGGCTGCATTCAACACAGGATACAACCCCAAAGCCTTTCAGGCATCGGCAGCTGTGCAAGCACCAGCTGAGAGTCCTCATTTTTCAGATTCTGGTGCTGATTTTGAGGAGCAGGGAGCGGTAGGACTGAACACAAACGAAGGCTCCCGTATTTTCCCTGAATCTCTAGCTACAAGCATAGGCAAAGAAGGCTTAGATACAATTCCTCCATAGCCTGCAAAGGTTAAGAAGTCCTTCAGAGCTGGGAAACATGGCTTCTACCCTGAGCAATGACAAACAGGGGGAAATCAAATGCTGTTGTGATGAGTAGACGGGATGGACAGATACCCTCATTGCTGGGATGAGGGGTGTCCTCAGCCTAGAAAGTGGGTGACTGCCCTAACAATACAAACCTGTATCTTTAACAGCTCTGTCACGCTTAAACCTTCTGCATAAGGCAATTGCGAGATGCCTTCTAGACTCATACCACAAGATCATCTCCAACTCAACAGAACAAAGACTGATGTGCTACAAACATGACATCCCAGAAGAAGAAAAACTACGATCGCCTGCCACTTTCCATGTTAGGACCTTGCAATTGGTTAAAAACTCTCCCCAAGTTTTAACTGATATGACTGAAACTCCTCATGCTATTGTTTTGTTTGGAAAAAAAAAGAGGTAATATGCTCCGGATGTTTCTGAAAATCAGATTGAGGGGAACAGGAAAAACAAAGCAAACAGTTTTGCCTATGTTAACAAAACAGTGGCAGTTAATTGTGAAAAATTAGGCCTCTGTATCTTGGAGCAAGCAAGGGCCAACTGAGTTAGTGTCTAAGATCTGATCAGTTCAGCAGTCTCTTAACTGATCACTGGAGTTTCTCATATCTTTAGTGAGACATAACTGAATGCAAGTAAGTCTCAGACTAGCTGGCACCAGGCTCATATTAAGTCCTTTGGGACATGTTAATTGCCCAAATAAAATTAGTGTAGTTGGTGCTGAAGACATCAGTCACTAAAAGTGCATTTTCCCAGTCCTTTTAAGCTAAGCAAAGAGATGGCTGCTGGCAGACACAGGAGTCTCAGCTCCCGGCATCCCTGGCCACATATTTCCGTCCCTTTGTGGCATAAATGGCTAGGACAGGAAACCGATCTGACCAAAAAATACTGTAGCCAATTAATCATCATCATCATTATCATCATCAGATCATCTCTTTGAAAATTAACTCTGTAGAAGTAAACTCCTATTTGCATGGAGTACTATTTCTAGACAAGGATGTATTTTACCAGGCAGGATTGGGAGGCTGAAGCTCCCACTTGAACTGTGCAGTGTATGCAGCACAACATCCCAGGTCATATGATCAGAGAATGGTCATCTTATGACCAAGCTCAATATACACAAGTAAAGGAAGAACTGTGTAACTTCAGGCTTCTATCACTAATGTTCCCATTCACACTAGTAATAAGTTCATGATTATTGGCATTATGAAGAAACACAGAGCAGCAGAACCCATTCCATCAGACTCCAAGAACTTGCTCTGTTAGGACCATACACATGAGCAGATATCCACCACCCCACACTTGTTTTAACAGTATCCAAAAGGCAGTCATGGTTTCTCTGCAACATGCATTTAAAATGAAATGCACATATTCACTCACTTGGAAGACAGAATCTCACAAATAGCCTTCAGATGCCCAACTTCAGGCTCAAAGATGAGGAACATCCTAAACTAATGCTATGAAGAGAATGTCACAAACACATGTTCCCGGCTTCAGTACACTTCTAAAGCAGTACGGCCAAATGATGACAAAACCTTGAAATATCCTCAACGTCTTTTCATCTGTCTGACACTAATCTAGAAGGAAATCCTACAGGCATTTAACGATGAGTGACAACCGACTTTCCTACCTAATGACTATTGTGAAATCAGCTGAATCCCACAACAGACCCAGCAATGCATCTGGAGACCTATTCTCATCCCTGAAAGTGGTTGTCTTCTTATGGATTTTGCACACGCTGTTAGCATCACTAACAGCAGTTGATTCACAGCCTTAACTTCCTCACCAGCATGTTTTTATTCCTTGATTTCACTTTATTCACAGAAAAGTGATTTTGTGTTATTTTCCCGTTTTACGGTGTTGCTGTCATATTGCACCAGACATTCTTGCAAATTAAGTTTTAGCAACAGTGATCAAAGCAACAGTTTGTCCCATGACTTTTTCCTCCTTTGAAACTCACTATCAGGACTAAAACCCGAATCTAAATTACGAGACAAGCTGGAAATGCAAAATGAGTATATGCCCCCAGGAATACAGCCTTTATGTTTTGAGCATATCCATCACAAGTACTTTTTTTTCTCCATAAGATCTAGTGTTTGTATTGAATCAGTTAAACATACCTTTACCAATGCCTTGTCAGTATGCATAATGATGTTTAAATAAAGAAGAGCAACATGTCCATTTCTATCAGCAGTGCTCATGCAGGGATGAAATAAGGGCCATCTTTATTTTCAGGACAACAGGATGCAACCCTGCGTAAGACCTGAATTTAAAATACGGTTTTGGAAACTTAAATTTCTCACACAAAGGAGCAGAGAATTCATTCCAAGAGCAAGAGGTGGTAGGAAACCCAGTAGGGGAGTGAATGTGGGAGATGCAGACTAAGGAAAAGGTGAAGTATGACTCATTGGTAATAATGAAGGGGGGGGAAGATAGGGAATGATAAGAAGTGAGGCAGAGATTAGCCTTTTTTTTATTATTATTATTATTATTAAGTAATGACACAGTAAGTCTCATGCAAAAGCTTGGGAAGATTTTGTTAATTTGCTTATAGCCAAGAGCAAGAATGGGGGTTGGGGGAAGATGAGACTGATTACTCTGCATTATTTCTATGACTGTGCTGATCTTTAAGACAGAATGTCTCCCAATAGAAATCTGGAGAGGATTACAGGATTACTGTGCCATGCCCTTCTTCTAGTTAGTCACTCCTCATGGGTAAAGGGTAAAGCCTTCTTTTAACTATTATTTTTTTATGCATGAAAAATATTTCTCCATACTGCTGCCTCATATCAGGCAGCTGACTTTCTGGAGAGGCAAGTGCAACAAAAACCTTCTTCAGTTTTAGTCATCTCCAGCCTTATCAGCGGCTAGTGGAAAAGTGTAAGAACGAGAAGAACTGCCCGTGGAGTTGATGTGAGTACATGGAGGCCAGAACTGCCTGATAACAGAGATTGCCTTGTGAAAAGAAGCAGTAGAAATTTGTCATGAACAGATCTCAACGAACAAATAATTGTTTTACCCTTGGGTAGGAGGACAAGCGTGTGGCTCAGAGCAGCTCTTCCCCACGCATGTGCAGTACGGCATGAGAAGCAAGACAGCCAGGTAAATACACCACCTTGGAAGTGCTCAGCCAGGACTCCAAGAGTCACTCTTCCTTTGGAAGGGAGGGAAGGGGGGAGTGGAGAGAGAAATGCCTGAAAACTAATTGTATTGTATGAGCTCTGATATTTGCTCATTTTATCTTAACTACCCAAGAGACAGCTGTTGCTGCTTTGTTTGTCAGAAGAACTTCTTATCTCTTTGAGGCGTGGTCCTAGGAGAGGCATAAAACACACATACATAAACACACATAAACAAAAACCCCCTCTCCCTTAATCACCAGAGGCACAACACTACCTACACAACTCCAATTCTGCAACTTGTCTGGTCAAGTCTCAAGGTGGAGCTGATTACC